CACATCATTAAATAAAACAAAAAGTTAACTAGAGATAGAAAAAATTAAAAATTGTGTACGTATTTTATGGACGACACCATATTAATATTTTATTATAAATACTTGTGACGTTTTAGTGTGGGTTCAAAAAAATTTTGGTACGTTTATAGACTATATTATCAGTTAACAATTTTATATATTTTTTTGTTAATTAAATAGTACTAAAATGTTGTTTTATTAATATTATTAATAGGACGTGTCCTAAAAAATATTTAAAAATATTTTATATAACATTTAAGGTTATAGTTAGGGCGGGGCTTAATATATATATATATATATTATTACTATTGTAGGGTTCGGATGAAACTTTTTTTTTTAATGAAAATTCCTCTAATTTCTAAAGTTTTTTTTTGGGAATTTCCAGGAAAAATCTATTTCCCTGTCTGTGTGTGTTTGCACATCCCTTTACCCCATCTATTGAATTGAATAACAAACTGTATTACAATTAAAAATTTTTAATTGAATTAAACAAATTTATTGTTAAAAAAAATATATTTCAAGTTTTTATTTTTTTTAATAATCAATATATGTATGGTCCCAAAATACTAACCAATCAAACCAATCGAAAAAAAGGGACATATAATAATTAAAAAAATATATTTATTTTTTGGGGGAAACTTCCCTCTCATTTGTAAAACTAAAAATTACCCTCAACACTAATTATCTAAAAACATTATTATCAAGGCAATTTATCTATATATATATATATATATATATATATATATATATATATATATATATATATATATATGCGTTGTATTATAATTAACTAATAATATTAATGCTGTAAAAATTGTTAAAAAAATTAAAAAATTGACAATGTACATAAATAATTAATTATATTTTTATTTTAACAAAATAATTATACAAATTATATATATATATATATATATATATATATATATTAATCACACAAAACTAAATATTCATTTATTAAACTATTAAAAATAATAATAATAATTTTAATTATAATATTTTTTTTAAAAATAAATCTTAAATTAAAATTATTTTAGTATTAGTAGCCATATATCGAGTTCATGTTAAATTAAACACACATATATAAATACACATAAACACATACATAGTGTTGGTAATTTTTCGCAATTCAATTTTCGATTGCGTGAAATTGCGTGCATGAGTGAATGTATAAAAAAATTAACTTTGACAACGTTAAAAATTTTGTTTATAATACATTTACTAATTTATTATTATTATTGTTACATGGTTTTTAGATGACAGCATTTTATGATAAAATAATTAAATTTTATATAATTAATTTATGTATTTATTCATATTGCTTTGCCATTTAAATTTTGTTAATTTTTTTTTTAAATTATAAATTTTTCTATGTTACAAATTGTAACTTACAATTGAAATTTTACGCAATTTCCGAGCAATACAATTGCGCATTTTGCAATCGGTACATCACTACACATACACATAGACACACACACATACACATACACATACACATACACATACACATACACATACACATACACATACACATACACATACACATACACATACACATACACATACACATACACATACACATACACATACACATACACATACACATACACATACACAGCATCGAGTGCGTGACTATCGGATTCAAACTATGGTTCCCATCAAAACACTTAATACAACGTACTATATGTTGTATCGGATATACACGGCTTATGAGCTATCGAAAACTCGGGCCCTTTTTATGTATATTACATATGTTTTTTTTTGTAACTATATCTCTATTAAATAATTATATAATTACATAAATGATGTCGCATTTTTTTAAACAACACATGACAATATGGTATCTTTTATAATTACCAAATGTAGCACAAAAAACATAAGTAACATAAATAAAAAAGTACCGAGTTTGTTCTGAAAATGTTTAGTGTATAATAAACAATACGTCAAACAGTCAGTCATATATGCGAACCATAGTATTAGTCAATCGATTAGTTATTATTATTACAGTATATATGATATGATATTATAATATGTTTTACAGATTCAATATGAAGTCCATCGACAACAACAACAACAACAACAACAAGAGTCACAACAATCACATCCACAACAACAACAACACTAACAACAATATGTCGTCTCATCGGTGGCGCCGTCACTGGCGGACCACTAGTTTTCGCGGCGGCGGCGGCAGCGGTGGTGGTCGCGGCCGTGGAGTAGGCGCTGCATCAGCTGTTGTCGCCCGCCGTATGGTTAGATGGCCAGTGCGTACTACGGCAGCGATGATGATGGCCAACAATCGGCTGAATACAGCCGCCGCCGCCGCTACCATTAACGGTAATCATCAGCGCAACCACAACACCAACAACAACAAGACAGTAGCCGTACGGCCCGTTTGCCAGTACTATCTGGAGGGCCGATGCAGTCGCGACTCGTGCCCGTACAGACACGTGAAGGTCAACCCGGAGGCCAAACTATGTTTGCCGTTCATCAGAGGCCACTGTCCCGCACAGGACAAGGTATCGACAATAACTGTCGACAAATAAATTGATTTCATTGACTACTTAACGGTTTAGGATTTTTTTTTCTCTCTCTCTCTTTTAATTTCTATGATCACTACCCGTTTCGGTCGTCCATCCCGTACCTCCCGTATGTATGTGTGTGTATAACAGTGCAAACGTATTCACCGATTGGACGGCCTTAACGCCCGTCATCAGTGGACAGCGGCCAGAGTAGTGGTGGCCAAAGCCAAAGCACAATCAGTAGTACGGAGAGCGTCCATTAAATCGCGGCTATTAGTTGCGGCCAACAATAATAATAATAAAAGACAATCACTGCCATCAAAGCAACAAAAGACAACGACAACAATTGTCAGACATATCATCAATAGTTTGCGTAAGAAAAAGATTGCAGCGGCGAGGGCTGCAATGATGGCGGCCAATGGCCACCACCACCACAATCACCCAATCACTGCCATTACCGCCACCACTACCACAACCAACACTACCACCACTAGTACTGTATCACAAATTAGCGCACAAACTGTTGACACTAATGACATTAATAATGATATTAATTTAGACCAATCAATGACAACCGACAATAATGTTGGTCACCACCGCTCAACAACGGTAGCGGTACAGCAACCCGAGTTCATACCTATTGTTTCCGATGATAATGTGATGGCCAATGATACTAACAGTGCCGCCCATATGTCGGCTGCGGTGATGATGGCGGCGGCGGCCATCAATTGTTGTGAGACCAACACTAGTAGTAGTAATAGTGATAAAGTTTGCGCCAATAGTAATAATACCAACAAAAAGAGTCATAAAAAATTGAAAACAATTACCAGTACTACTAATAGCAAAAAGTTAAGCAAAATTAAGTATAAGAAAACTTTAATTACTAATAATAATAGTATTAATAGTAATAGTAGTAATAATATTAGTAATAATAATAATAATAATAGTAATCATAATAATAATAATAATAATAATAGAGTTATTTATAGTAGAAAACAAAAGAGATATTTATGGTTAGAAAGTGATGACGAATGTACTACCAGTGATGATGATGATGATAATGATGAGGAGGAGGATAATGATGGGAACGGTAGTAGTAGTAATAGGAATAGTAGTGTCATCATCACCAACAACAACAACAACAAAAACAGTCAACTGTCGACCACTAGTTGTTGTCGACCACCAGCTATTAGAATTGTACCCAAATTTATGCTCTGAGATATATCTACCCCTCCTAACCCCAACCCCCCAACCCCTACTCTATCTATAATTTCCACCCCCTGTCTCTCTCTCTGTCACACACAAAGATAAAGGTAAGTATTTTCTCAATAATTTAATTAATTATTGTTTTTTGTTGATATGATTTTTTTCAAAAAAAAAAAAATCAACTTTTGTTTTGTTTGTTTTTGTTTTTTTTTTTAATTGTTATATATATATCCAAAAAAAATAATTAAATAATAATTAGTGAAAACATACATAAAATGAGAATAACTATTCAAAAAAAAGAAAGTTATTTATTATAAAATATCGCATTTTTTATCTATATCTATATATATATACTGTATATGAATCAATCGTTTTTTTTATATATTTATTATTATTATTTTTCTGCTCAAACTATTAAAAAAAATGTTTTGTATAAAAAAATTGTTATATATATTAATGAATAAAAAAATTTTATTAATAAAAACTGTTGTGTAATTTATTTATTTATAAATTTATATTAATATTTATTTTTAAATTTATATTAATAATTATTTATATTTATATTAATAATTATTTATTTTTTAGACTAGTTTTAGACTTTAATAAATTGTAATTGAAAAAATTATTTTTATGCTATAAATTACAAAATTAATTAATATAAAAAAAAGTACAATGGTAAGTTTTATATATAATTTTAATAATAATTTTTTTATTTAATTTGTTAATTTGTAGCTAGATTATTTATTATTAATAACTATATTAATATTTATTTTTTTAAAAAAAATTAGAGATCTAATTGGTTATAATTTATAACTTATAAATATAAGTTATATATATATATATAATTAATTTTATATATTAATTATTGTATTAATGTATGTCAATTTAAATTTGATAATTATTTAATAACTATAATATGTCTAATGTTTATCTAAATTGATTTATTACAGTTTGTATACTGATATCAATATCATAATTATATAAACTAATTTAGTTTAACTAATTTAACATTATCAAAAAAAATATAAACTATTTCAATTACTAAACTAAATTACATTATAAATTACAACCAATTTGTTTAATTAATAATTGATAGATATATATGTCTAATTTATATATCAATTAATTGTTTACAGTTTGTTATAAAAAAATAAGATAAATAAATAAAATTACTGTAAAATTTAGCCAATTTTTTATATAAAAATATATTTAATTATCTAATTTTTTTGTATTTTTAATTAAATATATAAATAATTAAATAACAAAATTTATATTTAAACTATAATGACTATTTATGAATTACTTATCTATTATTTAATATGTATTTACATTATGCGTCTATTAATTTATTACAGTTAATTAATTTATTGTAATTATTAAAAAAATAATTACTTGTTAGAAATTATACATTTTAAAAATCAACCTAGTTGAATTAATATTAATTTATATCTAATTTATATATATATATAATAGTCAAAACGGGTTGATATTATTATTATTACTTTATTTAGATATTTAAAAAATATAATAATATTTTCGTCACAATTTATATTATATAACTAACAATACAAGTGATAACCAAATAATATTTGTAAAAATAAACAGTTTATTTAATTAAATTATTATTTTGAAAAAATAATTACGTGTAATTTTATTTTTCAAAAAAATTATATTAAATTAATTTACTTAAATAATAATACAACAAAATTATAATTTTATTTTTATCAATCAAATATATATATATATATATATATATATAAGTTAATCATTAAAATTTATTATCCATATCATATCAAATATCATAATTATTAGAAATATTTAGTTAACAAAAAAAAAGTATTTAAATTATAAACTAAATTACAATATATATATCTAATATATTTCCCAATTAATTGATTATAAATAAAATTACTGTAAAATTTACCCAATTTTTATTTTTATTTAATTATTGGCTTTAATTACAAAATAATTATTTATAGTTTAGTTGAAAGTATTAATAAATTGAAATTAAATATTATTTTAGATTATATTTAGACTAAATTAAAAAATTTCAAAATGTACCAATGTAATTTTTTTCTTAATAATTTAATAAAAATATAAAATAAAATATAAAATAAAATATTGATTCAATATGTATAACTGTGTCAATAATTTAATGATTAATTTACTAATTTAGTATATCTATTATATTTATCAATTAATTTATTACAGTTTGTTAAACAAAACAAAACAAAACAAAAAATACAAATTAGTTAATTTTTGTATTTTTTAATTAAATAAATTAATAATTTAATAACAAAATTTTTAATTTAAAGTTTAAATTTTAAACTATAACTACTGTTTATAAATTGTTTATCTACTATTTAATATGTATAACATTATGCATCTATTAATTTATTACAATTAATTAATTTATTGTAATTATCAAAAAAAATAATTAATTAACTTGTTAGTCATACATTTTAAAAATCAACCTAGTTGAATTAATATTAATATATATCTAATTTATATGTATCATTATATACAGTATATAAGGTTGTATATATATATATATAGGTTAAAATTAGATGTACTAAAATTAAATAAATAACAATAAATAACAATTTTAAACTATGTTTAATTTATTATAAATGTTTTTTTTTTAAAAAAATAGTCAAAACGGGTTGATATTATTATTATTATTATTATTATTACTTTATTTAGATATTTAAAAAATAATTAACATTTTTTTAAGGATACAGTATCTATAATATAATAATATTTTTTTCCACAATTTATATTATATGTAACTAACAATACTTTATTACTGTATATCATATAAATACAATACAAGTGATAACCAAATAATATTTGCAAAAATAAACAGTTTATTTAATTTAATTAAATAATAATACATCAAATTTATCATTTTATTTTTATTAACCAAATCATATATAATAAGTTAATCATTAAAATTTATTATCATATCATATCAAATATCATAATTATTATAAATATTTAGTTAACAACAAAAAAAACGTATTTAAATTGTAACAAAATTACAATATATTAATATATATATATGTCTAATATATTACCCAATTAATTGATTACAGTTTGTTATGAAAAAATAAATTAAATAAATAAAATTACTGTAAAATTTACTCAATTTTTTTTAAAAATTTTAATTTAATTATTGGTTTTAATTACTTAATTAATTATTTATACTTTGGGGTCTCAGCACTTGAGCACCAATCGTATCGCTTCATTGTCGTCAAGCACTCAATAGCCAATCACAGCTCAGTGTTGGCAACGGTTTTACTGTTGTCAACCTGAGCTGACTATAAATACTACTCACTACTGCCGCACCAGTAGTGCCTAACAATCAGTCCGCACAGGCACTCACTCACTAACTATTCACTCAAACATTACTTTTCAATCAAACAATAAATTACAGTTTTTTCCCTACAACTCGGTGTCCACTTATTACCATCGCTGGCTATCATCGGTACCCACACGCTAAGCAAACATAGCGACTTTTAACCGCTATATTGGTGACCCGGACGTGATCTCAACTACCGATTGATACTACGGCGAACATGTGGACATCATCTCAACAACAGATACATCTCAACAACCGACACATCATCTCAACCGACACATCATCTCAACCACCGACAGTACTGGCCATAACATGTGCACTCATTCTCTATCTTCACAGTCTCAACGCTGAAGACATCAAGTCTTGTCGTTTGACTGCTGGCCCTCATCACTGGCACACCGCTCTTCTTATCTGGTCGTCACCTATTGGTCACCGCTAGTCGTACCACATCCTCTTCAGCGACTCACTGACCTCAGCACCGATCTCACCGACTCACTGGCATACAGATCACGACGTCATCTCTGAGCGCATTGCTCCGACCACTGCATACAGGATCTGCCACCGCCGGCCATACATACATACACACAGCACAGCAACTCTGGTCATCGCGATAGCACCGATGTTTCCGCTCATCGTATGTCGGCACCGACTCTCTATAGAGTGGTGCAGACATCGGCACACAGCACTTCAGACATCGTTGGTCTCACACTCGACGCCCATCTCTACTCAGCATTTCCCGAGTCATCCGCTCATTGGCTGATGCATATCGTCGCCGCACGGATCACCTCACGTTAACACTCGGAGGGGAGTACTTTGGGGTCTCAGCACTTGAGCACCAATCGTATCGCTTCATTGTCGTCAAGCACTCAATAGCCAATCACAGCTCAGTGTTGGCAACGGTTTTACTGTTGTCAACCTGAGCTGACTATAAATACTACTCTCACTACTGCCGCACCAGTAGTGCCTAACAATCAGTCCGCACAGGCACTCACTCACTAACTATTCACTCAAACATTACTTTTCAATCAAACAATAAATTACAGTTTTTTCCCTACAACTCGGTGTCCACTTATTACCATCGCTGGCTATCATCGGTACCCACACGCTAAGCAAACATAGCGACTTTTAACCGCTATAATACTTTAGTTGAAAGAGTATTAATAAATTGAAATTAAATATTATTAGTACTATTTTTTTAGACTAAATTAAAAAAATCTCAAATTTCAAAAAATGTACCAATGTAAGTTTTCTATAAATTTAATAATAATAATTTAAAATTATTTTATTTTATTTAATATAATTTATCATATGTGTAACATATCACTATTTAGCCAATAATTTACTATTTTAGTATATATATATATATATAGATATATGAAATTAGATGCATTAAAATTTAATAAATAAAAATAACAATTTTAAACAATGTTTAATTTATTAAAAATAGTCAAAACGGGTTGATATTATTACTAATTTATTTAGATATTTAAAAAATAATTTACATTTTCTTAGGACATAGTGTACACTGTATTGACTATAATTACTGTATAATATTGTAATGTAATATACAGTCAAAAAAAACAATGATAACAATGTAAAAAAAATTTAATAAAAAAAATAATTAATTAACCTAGTTGAATTAATATTAATATATATCTAATTTATATAGCATTATATATATAAGATTATATATATGAATTTAGATGTACTAAAATTTAATAAATAAATAAATAATTTTAAACTATGTCTAATATATTATAAATTTTTTTTTTTAAGTATAGTCAAAAAGGGTTGATATTATTATTATTATTACTTTATTTAGATATTTAAAAAATAATTAACATTTTTTTAAGGATACAGTATCTATAATATAATAATATTTTTTTCCACAATTTATATTATATGTAACTAACAATACTTTATTACTGTATATCATATAAATACAATACAAGTGATAACCAAATAATATTTGCAAAAATAAACAGTTTATTTAATTTAATTAAATAATAATACATCAAATTTATCATTTTATTTTTATTAACCAAATCATATATAATAAGTTAATCATTAAAATTTATTATCATATCATATCAAATATCATAATTATTATAAATATTTAGTTAACAACAAAAAAAACGTATTTAAATTGTAACAAAATTACAATATATTAATATATATATATGTCTAATATATTACCCAATTAATTGATTACAGTTTGTTATGAAAAAATAAATTAAATAAATAAAATTACTGTAAAATTTACTCAATTTTTTTAAAAATTTTAATTTAATTATTGGTTTTAATTACTTAATTAATTATTTATACTTTGGGGTCTCAGCACTTGAGCACCAATCGTATCGCTTCATTGTCGTCAAGCACTCAATAGCCAATCACAGCTCAGTGTTGGCAACGGTTTTACTGTTGTCAACCTGAGCTGACTATAAATACTACTCACTACTGCCGCACCAGTAGTGCCTAACAATCAGTCCGCACAGGCACTCACTCACTAACTATTCACTCAAACATTACTTTTCAATCAAACAATAAATTACAGTTTTTTCCCTACAACTCGGTGTCCACTTATTACCATCGCTGGCTATCATCGGTACCCACACGCTAAGCAAACATAGCGACTTTTAACCGCTATATTGGTGACCCGGACGTGATCTCAACTACCGATTGATACTACGGCGAACATGTGGACATCATCTCAACAACAGATACATCTCAACAACCGACACATCATCTCAACCGACACATCATCTCAACCACCGACAGTACTGGCCATAACATGTGCACTCATTCTCTATCTTCACAGTCTCAACGCTGAAGACATCAAGTCTTGTCGTTTGACTGCTGGCCCTCATCACTGGCACACCGCTCTTCTTATCTGGTCGTCACCTATTGGTCACCGCTAGTCGTACCACATCCTCTTCAGCGACTCACTGACCTCAGCACCGATCTCTCCGACTCACTGGACTACTGATCATTGGCGTTAGCATTGATCTCACCGACTCACTGGCATACAGATCACGACGTCATCTCTGAGCGCATTGCTCCGACCACTGCATACAGGATCTGCCACCGCCGGCCATACATACATACACACAGCACAGCAACTCTGGTCATCGCGATAGCACCGATGTTTCCGCTCATCGTATGTCGGCACCGACTCTCTATAGAGTGGTGCAGACATCGGCACACAGCACTTCAGACATCGTTGGTCTCACACTCGACGCCCATCTCTACTCAGCATTTCCCGAGTCATCCGCTCATTGGCTGATGCATATCGTCGCCGCACGGATCACCTCACGTTAACACTCGGAGGGGAGTACTTTGGGGTCTCAGCACTTGAGCACCAATCGTATCGCTTCATTGTCGTCAAGCACTCAATAGCCAATCACAGCTCAGTGTTGGCAACGGTTTTACTGTTGTCAACCTGAGCTGACTATAAATACTACTCTCACTACTGCCGCACCAGTAGTGCCTAACAATCAGTCCGCACAGGCACTCACTCACTAACTATTCACTCAAACATTACTTTTCAATCAAACAATAAATTACAGTTTTTTCCCTACAACTCGGTGTCCACTTATTACCATCGCTGGCTATCATCGGTACCCACACGCTAAGCAAACATAGCGACTTTTAACCGCTATAATACTTTAGTTGAAAGAGTATTAATAAATTGAAATTAAATATTATTAGTACTATTTTTTTAGACTAAATTAAAAAAATCTCAAATTTCAAAAAATGTACCAATGTAAGTTTTCTATAAATTTAATAATAATAATTTAAAATTATTTTATTTTATTTAATATAATTTATCATATGTGTAACATATCACTATTTAGCCAATAATTTACTATTTTAGTATATATATATATATATAGATATATGAAATTAGATGCATTAAAATTTAATAAATAAAAATAACAATTTTAAACAATGTTTAATTTATTAAAAATAGTCAAAACGGGTTGATATTATTACTAATTTATTTAGATATTTAAAAAATAATTTACATTTTCTTAGGACATAGTGTACACTGTATTGACTATAATTACTGTATAATATTGTAATGTAATATACAGTCAAAAAAAACAATGATAACAATGTAAAAAAAATTTAATAAAAAAAATAATTAATTAACCTAGTTGAATTAATATTAATATATATCTAATTTATATAGCATTATATATATAAGATTATATATATGAATTTAGATGTACTAAAATTTAATAAATAAATAAATAATTTTAAACTATGTCTAATATATTATAAATTTTTTTTTTTTAAGTATAGTCAAAAAGGGTTGATATTATTATTATTATTACTTTATTTAGATATTTAAAAAATAATTAACATTTTTTTTAGGATACAGTATCTATAATATTATAATATCTTTACCACAATTTATATTATATGTAACTAACAATACTTTATTACTGTATATCATATAAATACAATACAAGTGATAATCAAATAATATTTGCAAACAGTTTATTTAATTTAATTATTTTTTTTAAAATAAATAATTACGTGTAATTTAATTAAATAATAATACATCAAATTTATCATTTTATTTTTATTAACCAAATCATATATAATAAGTTAATCATTAAAATTTATTATCATATCATATCAAATATCATAATTATTATAAATATTTAGTTAACAACAAAAAAAAACGTATTTAAATTGTAACTAAATTACAATACATTGATATATATTTATGTCTAATATATTACCCAATTAATTGATTACAGTTTGTTATGAAAAAATAAATTAAATAAATAAAATTACTGTAAAATTTACTCAATTTTTTTTTTAAAAATTTTAATTTAATTATTGGCTTTAATTACAAAATAATTATTTATAGTTTAGTTGAAAGAGTATTAATAAATTGAAATTAAATATTATTAGTACTATTTTTAGAGACTAAATTAAAAAAATCTCAAATTTCAAAAAATGTAACAATGTAAGTTTTCTATAAATTTAATAATAATAATTTAAAATTATTTTATTTTATTTAATATAATTTATCATATGTGTAACATATCACTATTTAGCCATTAATTTACTATTTTAGTATAACTAATATATTTATCAATTAATTTATTACAGTTTGCTAAACAAAAAAATTACATATTTTTTTGTTAATTTTTGTATTTTTTAATTAAATTATATAAATAATTTAATAATAACAATATTTATATTTATACAATACCATCTATTTACTATTTATAAATTATTTATCTACTATTTAATATATGTATAATATTATGCATCTATTAATTTATTACAGTTTTAATTTATTGTAATTTTTAACAAAAAAATTAACTTGTTAATCATACATTTTTTTTAAAAATCAACCTAGTTAAAATAATATTAATATATATCTAATTTATATATCATTAATATATTTATATATATATATAGATATATGAAATTAGATGCATTAAAATTTAATAAATAAAAATAACAATTTTAAACAATGTTTAATTTATTAAAAATAGTCAAAACGGGTTGATATTATTACTAATTTATTTAGATATTTAAATAATAATTAACATTTTTTTTAGGACATAGTGTACACTGTATTGACTATAATTACTGTATAATATTGTAATGTAATATACAGTCAAAAAAAAAAAACAATGATAACAATGTAAAAAAATTTAATAAAAAAAATTATTACTGTATATTAATATTGATAATTAAATCAAACAAACAAACAGAGAGTATTTAATAATAATTTTTAATAATTAAGTCAAATTAAAAAATTGTTTATTTATTTTTAAAAAATTAAATTACATATACAATAGAGAGAGAGAGAGAGAGAGAGAGAGAGAGAGAGAAAGAGAGAGAGAGAGAGAGAGAGAGTAAACAGCGGCGGCGGCGTTGCTATTAATTACAATTATTATGATGTCAACAATAGGTGTTAAAATTAAAATAAAGTGACCAAGTGGTCAATAGGGGGGGGGAGGGTTGTAGATAATTTTAAACTGGATAAAATTGTAATTGGTGATTTTTTGATTAATTAATGTACAGTCAAAAACAACAAACAATTATAAAAACTTTAAAAAATATAATAATTAAATTATTATAACTGTATATACAGTATATATATATTGATAATTATAAATTTACAAAAATAATTTAAAAAATCAATTCAATTTAATAATATTTTTTTTTAATAATAATTTGGTTGAAATAAAAAAAATGTGTTTATATTTATTTACAAAATTAAAAATTATATATAAAATACTAAAACAAACAAAAAACTAATAGCCTTTCATATTAGTCTACACCTCCACCGCCCAGTAGTAGTCGACTTTCCTGAATCTCGCGATCAGTACCGCACTGGTAGTAATGCGGCGCCAATTCGGTCAACCAATTCGGTTGAATGGGCGTTACGTCGCGCATAAACTGCTGGGATGTATGCAATACTTCGTGAAATACTACGTGTTTCGGTGGTCTCGACATTGTATACAATACTGATGTCGGATGTAAATGCAATTCATGATCGCCGCGTATGGTTCGGTAGACACCTGTCGGGTGATAGTACGCTGAGTTGGCAAAAAAACCGCAAACAATAGCCCTGCGGACACTGTCAACATCCGACGATGATTTCAATCGTATCCGAAATCGGTTCATCAGTGATGCCAATCGATGGCGTACTTCCACTGCACGCAACAGTACCCGATAGTTGAGAAAATGTCGATCGGCCCATGACTTGACTTTATCGGCTTTGAGGAACTGATTGTAGACATTGAGATACGTTATCAGATCGCCCTCTTCGACACTCAACTGATGTTTCGACCGACGGGCCTGAATAGCTCGCTGGCCGCCCGGCGGCTGTTGAAACACTGACTGGACCTGCAGTACGGCACATATGGTCAGCGCTTCTTCACTGCAGCCGAACTGTTGCGAAGCGAACAACATTTTCGTAAACATCGGATGCAGCGGAAACTCGGCCATACGTAGACCGAGTGGATCGGTTAGACCGCCCGAATCGTTGAGAGCTCCCAAAGCGTACAACAGATCGAGTGCGGCCACAACGTGTCGTTCGGGTGGCGACGATATGAACTCAAATTTGGCCAAATTATTGATACCCAATGCCTTCAGCTGGAGAATGGTCAGCGCCAGACACGAACGCTGTATTTCGGGTACCGTATAGGTGGCCAACGACTCGGTAAACGCTTGTTCGGTGTACAGTCGATAGGCATTACCGGCTCGTTCGCGACCCGCACGTCCGGCTCGCTGTTGAGCCGATGCCTGACTAGTGGGTACAATCATCAACGAATCGGTACACGTATGCGGATTATAGACACGAAGTTTAACAAAACCCGAATCGATGACAAACCTGATACCCGATATGGTAATCGATGTTTCGGCAATATTGGTCGCCACTATAACTTTGCGTACACTTTTCGGAAACATTTCGAAAACGCGCATCTGATCCGATCGCGGCAACGATGCATACATTGGCAGTACATATAGTTTCTTGAATTTTGTATCTTTTTTGTCCCGTAATCCCCGTGAATAGTCTTTCAATATTTCCGTACAGGTTTCCACTTCGTCCATACCGGTCAAGAATACCAGTATATCGCCGAACGACGAAGTTTCGTGTATTTTGATAACAGTCTGAGCGGAAACCTTAACATAATCGGCAACCGGCTGTTCACTGTAGAAGATGTCTACCGGATGACACCGACCGTCCAGACATAGTATGGCCGACGTATCTTTCGATGGATCCACTGTTGATTTGTTTGTATTGAAAAAATCGCGCATAACCTCAGCTTCGATGGTAGCCGACGATACAATTACCCTCAAATCCGGTCGTTTGCGTACAATCTTCTTCAACAATGCCAACAATATGTCGGTATTCAGTGTCCGTTCGTGCGCTTCGTCAACAATGATGGCACCGTATGTGGACAACAACGGATCGGACATCAGTTCGTTAACCAGTATGGCTTCGGTCATGAATTTGATTCGTGTCGCCGACTTATCGGCGCAGTTCTCGAACCCAATACTGTAGCCAACTTTGTGGCCCAATTCGGTGTTCATTTCTTCGGCCACTCGGGTGGCCAACGATACGGCTGCCACACGACGCGGTTCGGTAACGCCGACCATCAGTTGCTTTTGCTGATGCTGTTGTCCATCGCCGACGGCTTTACTATGTGTTGTCCAATTCGAGCATATTTTGGCTATAATTTGCGGCAATTGTGTCGATTTGCCGCAACCGGTCTCACCGACAATCACTACTGTCTGGTATTTCTCCAGTAAATACTCGATGTGTTGTCGATACTGTTGTGGACATAAAAAAAAGACAATTAATTAAGACTTTAAAAATTTCATTCAGTCATTTATAAATCAATTCAATCAATCAATTACTTTATAGACTGGAAGTGCTCTTCTTTGGTCATCAATTGACAAGTTTTTGTTTGGATTAAAATGTATATCAATCTTCTCGTCTGATTTCAATTGTTCAACATTTCGGTCGTCTAACAAGTCTTTCTCAGTCAGAGCTATTCGTGTGGGTCGTCGGCGGCGGTAATGTTGACCGAAACAAATGGACAAAAAGAGAGAGAGAGATTAGTCATCAGAAAGAGAGAGAGAGAGAGAGAGAGAGAGAGAGAGATACAGAGAGACAGAGAGACAGAGAGACAGACAGAGAGAAAGAGAGAGAGAAAGAAAGAAAGAGAGAGAGACAGAGAGAGAGACAGAGAGAGAGACAGAGAGAGAGAGAGAGAGAGAGAGAGAGAGAAAGAAAGAAAGAGAGAGAGACAGAGAGAGAGACAGAGAGAGAGAGAGAGAGAGAGAGAGAGAGACAGACAGACAGAGAGACAGAGAGAAAGAGAGAGAGACAGAGAGAGAGACAGAGAGAGACAGAGAGAGAGAGAGACAGACAGACAGAGAGACAGAGAGAAAGAGAGAGAGAAAGAAAGAGAGAGAGACAGAGAGAGAGACAGAGAGAGAGACAGAGAGACAGACAGAGAGAAAGAGAGAGAGAAAGAAAGAAAGAGAGAGAGACAGAGAGAGACAGAGAGAGAGAGAGAGAGAGAGAGAGAGAGAGAGAGAGAGAGAGAGAGAGAGAGAGAGAGACAGACAGACAGAGAGAAAGAGAGAGAGAAAGAAAGAGAGAGAGACAAAGAGAGAGAGAGACAGAGAGAGAGAGAGAGAAGAGAGAGAGAGAGAGAGAGACAGACAGACAGACAGAGAGAAAGAGAGAGAGAAAGAAAGAGAGAGAGACAMAGAGAGAGAGAGAGAGAGAGAGAGAGAGAGAGAGAGAGAGAGAGAGAGACAGACAGACAGACAGACAGACAGAGAGAAAGAGAGAGAGACAAAGAGAGAGAGAGAGAGACAGAGAGAGAGAGAGAGAGAGAGAGAGAGAGAGAGACAGACAGACAGACAAAGAGAAAGAGAGAGAGAAAGAAAGAGAGAGAGACAAAGAGAGAGAGAGAGAGAGAGAGAGACAGAGAGAGAAAGAGAGAGAGAGAGATTATGAGAGAGACAGACAAAGAGAGAGAGAGAGAGACAGAGAGAGAGAGCCGATCGGCGGTAAAAAACTCACGTCTTTTGATGGATGAAATGGACATCTTGTTTCTGCAGATTAAATGGTCAATCACTGGCTCAGTGCCTCCGCCGTCGGGTAATAATAATAATAATTACTGGCCATCAATGAAAATGTCATTACAATTGCTGTAATAAATAAATATTTTTTGTTTTGAATTATTATTATTATTAAGTAATACAACAATCAATACATTTGACAGTCAATAGTATTTTACATGTGATTAAAATGTTTTTTTTAGTATGGAATTGAATGCAATATCTGATTGTATTCAAAACCATAACAATAATGACCGCCCACTAACACAATAGTGTTTGTAATATACAGGGTTTTAAGAAAATAAATGCCTGCCCTGGCAATGCCCAAATAGATGCCATAAATGCCTGGCATTTTGGGCATCTATTTTATTTGCCTGCCAATTTAAATTGCTAAAAAGCAACTGTATTTATAAAGAATAATGTAATTTAGTGTTTTAACATGTTAATTAAATTTACAATTTATTTATTTATTTCCAATGATATTACCTTTTAATTAAAGGTATACAAAACAAAAATACAAGCAAATATATTATAAAAACAATGTTTTATAAATTAATTAATAATATAAAATTAAAATAAAATAATAGGTGTCACCACCTGAAAATAAATGCCCAGGGCATGGCAGAGGCAGGGCAGGCATTTGGCAAAATTGGCATCTATTGTTTATGCCTGCAATTTTTAAAACCCTGAGCAATACACATATAAATATATAATGCTAGTTAAAGTCTTATTTTTCCCAGTGTTTACAGTTTAACTATCATATATTAAATAGAATTTTAATTTACAACAATATAATTAATCATAGACTGTTAGATGTTTCCATATTATATTATACACATTATTTTATTTGTATGTATATATATATTAAGTATAATCTATAAGATAAATCTATTTGCTTGTGGAGCTTCAATCTACTATTGTTTTGGTTTTGAATATAAATGAACAGTTTTCTACATAGCAATAGCAATAACACCCACAAAAAAAATTAAACTAATTGTTCAATAAATAACGTTTTTAATTATATTATTGATTGTAAATAAATTTGATACATTAAAATGGGAGGGGAAGGGGGGGGGGTAGTAATAGTTTGTTGGGGGACAAATTAATTAATATAGACATTATTTATGTTATATATTAGTAGTATTATAATACTGTAGGTATATTACCCAAATAATTTACTAAAAATAATCCTGGACAATTTTTAGGAAATTAAATTTAAATAAATATAGATTTAATTTTATTGAATATATTAATATTTTTGTTTTTATATGTAAATAATATTTTATGTACATTAACTGTATTTTTTAAAAAAAAAAATAATAAATAATCAAAACTATTTATAAAATAAAAATTATCCAGCTAAAATTATCCTGGATCATTTAGCCAGTCTAGACAATTATATTTTATTATTATATTCAATACATACAGTACTACACCATTTACATTGACGTGCAGTGTATTGCTAACCACTAGTAGTACTGTACACACAGTTATTAGTATATATATATTTGTTACAAATAAAAACTGTTAACTAATTTTAATAATACAATTCAATATATAATCTTTTTTTTTTGTTGTTGTTTAGGATACCCAACCAACCCATCAAAAATACCTACTATTATATCTCATATAATAGAGAGCACCGGTATTTTTTAACGGCACAGTTATGTCATCTACTACTGTACGACGTGTACTAATCTATGGCGGCAAAGGAGCTCTGGGATCAGTTTGTGTCCAGTTTTTTAAGAAACAAAATTGGGTTTGTATTAGATTTTTAAAAGTTTTTTTTTATTTTAAATAAAAAATAAATATCATATCCTATATGTATAACATGTATATCCTATTATTAAATTAAATTTTAAAGAAAAAAATTATTTATAATATCTATACCGGTATTATACATATATATATATATATATATATATATATATATATAAATTTATATTATTATTATTATATACATATATTTGTTAATACAAACTGTTTGATTGACTATATTATCTCAAATATTTATATGATATAACTTTTTATATGCAATTACTAATAGGTGTATAAATTTTAATTAATTAATTATTAACTATAGTATAGATTATTATTATTAGTAGTATTTTGTTTGGTTTTTTATTTATTAAAATAAATAAATTATTTTTTATATAATAGCACTGTAATATACAGAATATTATATTAAAAAATTATTATTATTATTATTATAAATAGTTAGCAATTAAATTGTAATTTAAAATTGTTATTATTAACAAACAAAAAAATGTATATTAATTTATTTTTTAAATTAATATAACTATTAAAATGTAGTTAATTTATCTATAGTTGTTTGCCTTTAAAAAAAATTTTTAATCACTAAATAATATCTTTTTAAAAAAACAAGTAAAACATGTTTTTTAATTTTTTAAAATATTTATTTTGGTTACTATGAATATACCAGTATATATATATTTTTACTTAAATATATATTAATAGATACAAAAAAAATATTTAATAAATTAAAACTATAATTTAAAAAAAAATATTTGAATATAAAATATAAATGATATAATCTAACAAATTATATATAAATAGGATATTATTATCACATAATTGAATAATATATATATTAATTTATTTTAATTAAAATCTAATTGAATTCAATCAACATTACATTAACATAAAATATATATATATATAATTGATAGCTTAATATATTATTTTATTATTATTTGTTGAAATTAATGTTAAATTATATTAAATTTAATGTAGATTTTAATAATAAAAAAATATTTAAATATAATAAACAAATATGAATTAATTATATTTATAATAACTTAGTAGTAGTAGTAGTATTAGTAGTAGTAATGCTTATAATAATAATTATTATTTATCAATTATTTTATTAATTAATTAATTTAAAAAGTAATATTTAAAATAATATTAATTATTATTTTTTTTAAATTTTATTTTTTGAACAGTGGGTTACATCAGTCGATTTGGTAGCCAATAGCGAGGCCAACGAAAATATAGTAATCAAGTCGTCGACTACCGACCAATGGACACAACAGGAGGCCGAAGTGGTCAACGGTGTCGGCCAAGTATTGGGCTCAGACAACAAACTCGATGCCATTGTCTGTGTGGCCGGCGGTTGGGCGGGTGGATCGGCCGCAGCCGACGATTTTGTCAAAAATACCGATCTAATGATCAGACAGAGTCTATGGAGTTCAGTAATATCGGCAAAATTGGCCGCAAAATACTTATCGGATGGCGGACTGTTGGCATTGACCGGCGCTCGGGCAGCGCTCGAACCAACACCCGGTATGATTGGCTACGGATTGGCCAAATCGGCTGTACATCATTTGGTTCAGAGTCTAAGCCAATCGACTGGTGGATTGCCTACCGGGGCGACAGTTGTGGCCATATTGCCCGTTACGTTCGATACGCCAATGAATCGTAAGTTTATGCCCAAAGCCGATACCAGTCAGTGGACACCGTTAGAGTTTGCCGCCGAACTTATGTGGAAATGGGCGTCAGCGCCGGCGGCGGCGACCGATGATGTCCGGCCAAAGTCTGGCTCATTGGTTCAATTGATTACCAAATCGGGCGAAACGGAACTTGTGGTCACTGCTGGCCATAACTAACATTGATATATATATATATATGCCGTAAATATATTGTCGTGATATATGTGTATCAAAAATAAAACAACGAAATAATTTCTATCAATTATGTGGTATTATATTATTTTATTAATTTTTTTTCTGTGGATCCATTCCTCCACTAGTTTTTTATCGGTTATATAACTTTATATATATATTTAATCAATTGGATGTATAAATGTTTTTTTTAAACATTATTATTATTATTATTATTGGTTATCACTTGTATTGTATTGTATATTTCAATGATATATATAATAAAAGTAATTGTTAGTTATATATATATAATATAAATTGTGTGTGAATTGTATATTATATTATCGATAGATTAAAAGATGATTAAACGGTCCTGGTTATTTAAAAAAAAAAAACATAATGACCAAGATAAAAAAAAACAAACAATAAATTTATATAACTACCGTTGTTGCGCACACGCCTTTCCATGGCAGATAATGCGATAAGTGGCAGGTTTAGTGGTAATTGCTTCCCCTTGAATTTGCTTAATTTGAGGGCACAAAATCCCAGCCATGTTATAAGTTTTTATTATCTATCAAATTCATTCCACTCATGATTTTTTTTCATTATTTAATGCTATTATTTATGCATTATTAATGCTAATTTAATTTATTATTTATTTGATTATTAATTTTACAGTATTGATCGATCCTAGGATATTAAATTATTTATTTATTAATTGATCGATCATATATTTAATTAATTATAACTAAATTTAGATATTTAAAACACTTATAATTGTGTAGATACCAGTTATCACATTTACTGCCATTCGACTATTTTAGTTATCTCATTATCTGCCATGGTATGGCAGGTTTAGTGATAATTAGTTCCATACCTTTTTGACACTTTTTTAAAATTAATTTTTAAAATTGATATGTCTAATTAAGTGGTTAAAAACGGTAATTTTTTTGTATACTATTAAATTAAGATAAAATGCTTTAATTTAATAAAAATTTTCTAATAATTATTTTTTTTTGTGTCTCTAATTTCAAACTAATATTATGGTATAATATTTCCCATAAAAATAACATTGCTTTGAATTAAAAAAAAAAAAAAAAATTGCAAATATAACAATACATTTTTAAGATTTGAATTAAAATATATGGTTGTCGAGGAAAGGTGTCATAAATACACAACTATTATCTTAATACTCTGTTATCTTGATTTGGACGCATTGGCGGCCAGACCGCCGCCATCGGCAACAATAATACTGCCGGTTATAAACGCGGCGGTCGTATCGCTGGCCAAATAGACGACAGTGTTGGCAATATCAAGACTATGGCCAACCCTACCGACCGGATATTTGTGGCCAAAATCTTTATATATCCTATCGATAACATCATTCGGATAATCCATTGCTTGCATAATGTTTGTGATTACATAACCGGGACTTTAATTAATTAAAATTAAATAAAAAATTTTATTTTTATATTAATTAATTAATTAACGATTATTTAATTGATTGATAAATATTATTAAATTATTAAATAAATAAATTCTATATATAATATTATAAATAAATACTACGTATATTTAGGCGTGGTTCACATATTACGTTCGCACATTTTAAGAAATATAGAACCCTCCCTCCCATTTAATATATATTTATTATTTATTTAATATTATATTTTATATATAAAAAATAACTTAATAATGTTTAATAATAACTACTAAATTTGTTTTAAATAAAAAAATACTATTAGATTACAATCTACTTAATGAATACGATTATATATATATATATATAATACTGAATTTAATATTAAGAATAAAATATTAGTTTTAATTATCAATTAATAAATTATCAATAATTTCTAAATACAAAAAAATGATATTACATTTAATAATATAATATTTGATAAATCATTATTTCAATGACATATCTAATAATAAAAATGTGACAATTATTAGTTAAAATTATCACGAACTCCTGAAAGGAGTACGTATATGAATTCTATATGTCTGTCCGTCTGTCTGTCGGTCTGTCCCAAAAAAAAAATTTAGAATTTTTAAATTTTGATTTCAGATTTAGATATATAGCATCAAAAATTTGGGGATCAGTATTGAAATTTTGATATTTTATCAGGAACATAGAGAAAATGGCGTCCAAAATTTTTAAAAAATTTATTAAAAAATTTTTCAAATATAAATTTGAATAAAGCAACAAAAACAGTCATTAAAATTTATATATAAAATTTTGATATCTCCTCGGGAACATAGAAAAAATGGCGACCAAAGTAAAAAAAAATTAGGTAAAAATTTCAATGCTAAGAATTATATTGAGCATAAAACGTAAGATATAATAGATAAGCATTTTTCAAAAAAAAAGAAAATGGCGGCAAGTGTAAAAAATGTTTTTGTCATACTTAGGGTTAGATCAGATTCCCTCCCTCGTCTTATTTTCCATAAGTTCCTTATATTCCCTGTTCCCTGGGAAGACATTTCCTTGTGGTACCACCTATCGTACCCTAACTCACATTACATAATGTTTAATTAAAAACACGTTTGTATAGTAAATGTCTACAAAATGTATTTAATGTTTTTACTAAATGTTTAATAATATTTGAATCATATTTTGATTGAGTTATTACTAACATAATGGTCCCAATTGAAACACATAGCCATTGAGATTATGTACTTTTTAATGTATGACAAATTATATTTTCCCTTTCTAACGATCAAGGGAAGGAATATAATATATTTTCCATATTTTCCGGGAAAATTGGAAGGATTTTATTTGTGAACTTCCCTCCCTGGGAATCTCAATCTAACCCTAGTCATACTGAATCATTTTATACCCTACACGACTATGGTTGAGTTTATTTTGTTTAACTGAATAAATTGATACCTCGCATGACTATGGTTGAGTTTAACCTTATAAAGTTACTTAACTAAATTATAATTTAATAGTTAATTTGAATAAGGAGTTCGTATGGAAATGCTTTCTAGAATTCTCAACTGGTTTTTAGTTATATTATATTAGATTTTTTTTTTTTTTAAATTTGCAAATTCATTACAAAAATAAAATTGTTATAATTTATTGTTTTATTTATATATGTATTTCATTAAATTATACAAAAAACAAAAAACATAGTATAAAAAAATATATACTGTTATTACAATATAATACTAATTTTTAAAACTAATATTTTTTTATATATAAAAAAAACAATTATCAACTGTTTAATAATAACTACTAAATTTGTTTTAAATAACAAAAAAAACTATTAGATTACAAATATTCATGAATACGATTATATATAATACTTAATAATACATTATATTGTATTAAATAATTTTTAAAAAATATTAATAGTTGTAAACTATTTGTTTTTATATACAGAAAAAAAATATCTTTAAATTTTTATTATAATACCAAAAACAACTACAACAACAACAACAACAAAATATATATCATATAAAACAACAAATTTTAATAAATAAAAAATTTATAAAACAATATATATATATACAGTATATTAATTAATACTATATTTATATTTTTAAAACAAACAAATAAATAGATAATAAAATGATTGAGTGATAGATAGTATATATATATTATTGTTAATTGAAATGACAATTAGTGGGTGAGAGAGAGGGAGGTAGGGGACAGACATATGGATATAATTTATATCTATATATTGAATGAGTGGGTGAGTGAGTGAGTGAGTTTGTCTCTCTCTCTCTCTCTCTCTCTTTTGCTATTTATGCCAATAGATAGTCACGTGTCCTCCGACGGACACCCGCCCGAAGCTGTTGGCCACCGGTTGCGTTCGGCCGGAATATATTCAGTTCAACCTCAAAGTCACGTTCAAATGGTATGAACAGGTCGTCCAAACTGCTGAGCGGTAGGCCGTCGGCGTGTGTTATGATGTCTCCCTTTTGGATACCGGCCTCACTGTGTGTGTGTGTGTGTGTGTGTGTATGTGTGTGTGTGTGTATGTGTGTGTGTGTGTGTGTGTGTGTGTGTGTGTGTGTGATAGTCGGATAAAAAAATATTAGGGATTAATTCATTATTATATCAGAGATTATTTAGATGAATAGTAATATCATAAATGGGTGGTTATGTGTGTATGTATGTATGTGTATGTATGTATGTGTATGTATATGTGTGTATGTATATGTGTGTATGTATATGTGTGTATGTATTTGTGTGTGTGTGTGTGTGTGTGTATGTGTATGTATATGTGTGTATGTATGTGAGTTTGTATGTATGTATGTGTGTGTGTGTGAGTGTGTGTGTGTGTGTGTGTGTGTACGAGTGAGAGATAAAGGGTTGGTTAGTATATATATAAACTGATAATACGTACTGAGAGGGCGACCCGACGGCCGTATAGTAGACTATAGCGCCGTTAGCGTTTTGCGGTATCTGGATATTGGGCGGTAAACCAAGTCGTTGCTGGTGTTGGTCGCGGCTATTCTGATCCAACCAACCGACTACTGCACCGATACATCGTTTCTTGAGATCGCAATCGATGTCGCGTTTGGTGTTCAACACTCCTACAGACAGACAAACACACAGACAAACGGAAACAAACAAAAAAAACAATAAATCAATTAAAACATATATACAAACTCACTATTGGTGGCCACACAACACCAGTGGCCAGCTATTGGTGGTAATTGTTGTGGTCACCACTTCCCCGCCCCCACTACTCCTATCCCTCCCCACCGATACGTACCTTCCAGTTCTTTGGCCGACATGGACACAGTTAAGGTGTTCAGACCAGACGGATGATTCATATCCAGGCCGACCAGTTGGCCGGATTCGTCGACCAATGCACTGCCCAGAGCACAGTTGTTAGCCGAATGCCACAGATATTCGAGTTGGCCGTTAATAGGTTGACCACCGTTTCGTGGGTGAACCATTGGCTCGACACTGATACGGCCGGCGCTGAACGTATAGAAAAACGGATGACTCAGACTGTAGACTAGTTGGCCAATATCGGGCGGCTGATGGCTAAACTGGGCCACCGGATAGGGTATCGGCTGTTGTTGGCCATCCAATTGTTGTTCAACTTTAATTATGGCCAATCGATGATTGAGATCCGAATCGACAAGTTTACCTTCGGCTTCCGTACCGTCGGGAAACATAACAAAAAAATTATTATAGAAACCAATGGCCGATATTGTGGTGACTACCAGACCGGACTGGTCAAACATAACACCGGCACCGAGTACTTTGGTCGGTCCGCGATAACCTGATTCGGGGAAATTGATACGTATGGATACGTACGGCTGAAACCATTCGGGTCTGAAAGCAGCGCCAGCGCCAGCGGCAGCACCTGAGCCGTGACCGTTGGCCAATAGGACACGTCTGAGCGATGGCAGACAACTGGTTGCGCAGCTGCTAGTGCTGTCGGTCAGTGACCACAATCGACAGTGACTACTACTACTAGTACTACAACTACTACTATTAATGTTGTTTTTTTGCCGATAATAGCTGTTTGTGGCCACCAGTGATGCGGTTATAAACAGTAGCGGCGGACCACTGGTTTGTATTATAAGATTATATAGAAAAAGGGATTTACAGTTACAAGGGTTAGGTGTGTGTGGATATAACTAACTGTCCACTGATACATACCTATGCCGGTAATGGTTGACCAATACATTAAACAACAGTCGATTCATTGTTTTATTTTTTAAAAATATTTATAAAAAAAACTATTACTTTATCGATCGCTACTACTGTAATACTATTGTATAAATCAAATCAAATTGAATGTCCAGTCAATCAGTCAATCAATGATTTACCGAAAAAATACTGTACTAATAGATAAAAATAAAAAAACTGTTATCTAAATAAAAACTAACAGTTTTTTGTTTGTTTGTTTGTTTAATTGTGACTATGACTGTGTAAACGTTTAATATTTAAATTAATTTTTTCAAAAAATTAAATTAATTATCATTTAATTTGATTTTTTTTGATTGAATTTTTAGTGTGCGCGCTATAGTATTAATATTAATATAAATATAAATGCAATAATAAAATTTAAGCGATTTATTGTTGGGTAACAATTGTTTGGTTATTAATAATATTAAATAATAATTATTATTTATCTCCATAACTGTCACACAATGGCCAACAACCGACGCCAATCAATAGTAGTGTTGTTGTAGTAGTGACCAGAGTTATGGCTGCGGCGGCGGCGGCACCCGATTTGGTGGACCCGATAGTAGTAGTATCAATAACTGGAGCGGCGGCATCGGTATTAGCCGATTGTTGACCAACAGTAGTAGCATTAATAACATTAACCGATGGAACGGTAAGCATATATGGAGGTATAGGACCACTAAACCGAGGTTTGGTCACTGATAATGATGACGACGACTGTCCCTTAGCGTCATTATCGGGTATATGTTTCAAACCCCTTCTCCTAATAGGGAAAGGGTTCGGAAAATTTGGACAAAACGGGTGGCAATCATGTAATCACTGGAATACCGGTTGAAATGGCATCCGAACGGACAAAATTAGGTGACATAGAGTTAGATATGGATATCACCGACAAAAGCAAATCCTATCGAAAGTCCAAACGACCCGAACTGGTTGTCCATCCGAAAGCCGAAGTTTGTATTGTTGTTGTCGTAACTAATAATTGATAAGTAATTAATTGATTGATTGCTTAAAACATTCAGCAGAAGACTACCGGCGGCGATGACGGTGGCGGTGATGGCGTCCAAACAACAACAGCAGCTGATAATGAATCAGATAGTGACGTAAAACTGGCCGCACATATGCCCGACAATGACGCTAAGGGACAGCCGTTGTCATCATCATCAGTGACCAAACCTCGGTTTAGGGGTCTTATACCTCCATTTATGATTACCATTCCAACTGTTAATGTTATCAATGCTACTATTGTTGGTCAACAATCGGCTAATACTACAACTAGTGGCGGTGGCGGTGGTGGTGACCAATCGGCTAATACCGATGCCCCTCCAGTTACTGATACTACTATCGGGTCCACCAAATCGGGTGCCGCCGCCACCGCAGCCATAACTCTGGTCGCTACTACAACAACACTACCATTGATTGGTCGGTTGTTGGCCATTGTGTGGCCAATTGTTATGCGTTCGTTGTCGTCATCGTCGGCATTGTTCTCGTATATATAAATTAGACATTAATTTTATGTTTAATATATATATCTATAATATATAGCAAACAAACAAAAAGTTTTTTTTTAGGAAAAAAATTATTATTTTTTCTCATATTTTTATTTTTCAGTTATTTTTATGTGTTTGTGTTATTTGTTTTAACAAATTATTTATTATTACAAAGTTTTTATAGTTTATGTTATTTGTTTGTTTCAATGATTATTTAAATTATTTATTTATTTTTTTTGATATTAGTTTTCGATGTATTTATTTATTAATTATATTATTATTACAAACAAAAAAATAAAAATAAAATATTATCATATTATGTAAAAAATGTATATGCTATTAGTTTTTATAAAAATATTTATATATTAATATATATAAAAAAAATAATAATTTAATAAACTATTTAATCATTTTTTTTAAAACGATTTTTGTTAAATGATATTTATTTTATTTTATTATATATTGTGTGATTAAAAATATTAAAAACAATATTTTATTACAATAAAGTGTTTACTGAAAAAAAAACAAAACATATATATATATATATATTTAAAATATTATTTATAATAAAATTAATAACATTATAGTGCTATTAATACTGTATACTGTATACTATATATCTATTATTAATTATTATTTTGTATTATTTAATATATAAGTTGACTATAAGTTATAAAAAAAATAAAAATATTTTTTATTAAAAATTAATTTACAATATTATTGTTTGAGTAGCAAAATAACTAGAAATAACTTTTATATATTAATTAAATTATATATAATTTATTTAATTGAATTATTTTTTGTTTGTTAAGATTTTATTTTTAAAAATATATTTTTGTGTGATTTATTAATACTATTGTTGTAGTGTATGTAAAGGGTATTATATCATTAATAATATAATGTAATTTAAATCATAGATATAACTATATATATATATATAGTTATATCTATGATTTAAATTACATTATATTATTAATGATATAATAATGATATATATATATATATATATATATATTTGATTGTTGTTTTTTGGTACTAAATAATAATAATATAAAAAACATAAATCATATTTAAATATAACCAATCATTCATTTAAATGTAGAAAATTATTATTATTATTATTATTATTATTATATACAGTTAATATCTATAAATAACAAAATCAATTGATAATAATATTATATATCTATATATATATATAGTATTTAGCATTATATTATTGATGTGTAATATCTATAGAAAGTAAAATTATTCAAATAATACAATATATTTTAAAAGTTTTCTCAATTTTTTCTCAAGTGATTATTACTGTATTATTATTATCTATTTAAACATTTTTGTTCAATAAATTATATATTATTTTTTTATTATAGTTTATTGTTAGTTACCATTACTAAGTATTATTACTATATATATATATATATATATATATATATAGTAATAATACTTAGTAATGGTAACTATATATATATATATATATATATATATATATATATAGAGAGAGAGAGAGAGAGAGAGAGAGAGAGTCAATACCGGTATATAAAACTATTTTAAAATGAAAGTTATGAATATATATAATATCTAAATAATAATAAGTAGTAATAAATAATTATGAATCAATAGATATGTATAATAAATTATATTATATTTTTTTGAAATCTTAAAAATAGATTCACCAATAATAATAATAACAACAACAATGATAATAATAATAATAATAATAATAATAATAATAATAGGAAAAGTATATTTTAAAAAATGATAAAAACTTGAAATAACAAAATAACAAAAAAAATAAATAATAATAGATTAAAATCAATAAAAAAAATTTTTCCATAAAAAACATTTCCGTAAATATTCATTGGATTTTATTATTATTATTATTATTATCACTATTATCGTTAATATTGGTATTGTTAGAAATTTTTTTTTTATTTTTTAGTTAAATCAATTTGTTAAATAAGTATATAATAATAATAATAAACTAAAATTTTTTTGAAAATAATATAGTTATGCATAGAAAATTTAATAGATCATAGATATAAATTTATATATATATATAATTTAATTATATATATATTTATATGAATTTACTGTATTTCTATATAAACATAAATTTATATATATATATACTGTAAATAATTTTATAATAATTTAAATATTGATAATTTTTTAAAAATACATTTGTAATTTTATATATATACACAAATTATTATGGATATATAAATTTAAATATAAATAAATATTTTTTTTATTTGAATACAATAAACACATTAAACTATTTTATATATAATATTTTTTATATATAATTAATATTACACTCGTATTGTTTTATAATTACATAATTTTTTTATTGTAATTATTTTTATTTATTTTTACTTATTATTATTACAATCACCCATTTTGAGGTTAGTATTATTATTATTATTATTAAATATCGTATATATATTTATTTGTTTTTTATTAAATAGTATTTATTTATTTTATATTTTAGAAAAAAAATTTGATATCAATTTTGTTTTCTCATTTAGTGCCGACACGAAAATTTCATTAAAAATATTATTAAATAGTTAATAAATATTGTTTATATTTATATATGTATATATCTGTATATTTAGACACACAACAATATAACTATTATAAAAACGTTAAAATAAAATAATAAATAATATATATATATAGATAAATACCGGTATCTATCGGTTTATAACAGTTATGTAATAATTTATTTTATTTTATTATTATTTGTTTTGAATTATTTATAAGCTGTTTATTTGTTTATTTATTATTATTTATATATTTTTAGTAAATTTTTTATTTTATTTTTTACAAACAAACACAAAACAATATCTATTAAATATATATATATATATATATATATATATATATATAGTATGATATATAGACAATTAAAAATAAATATCATATAATTAACACAATATAAATATGTTATATTGACTCTCTCTCTCTCTCTCTCTCTCTCTCTCTCATAGATAGCCATTAATTGATAAAAAAATCCTAAATTTTATGACAGTATTTGAAATACAAATAATAGTTAAGAAATATTTTATATTAACAAAAAAAAATAATTTTAAACAATTTTTAAAAAAATATATGCTTTCAACAACAAAATAACAAAAAAAATAAAATTAAAGTTTATTTATATATAAAATACTAATATTCATAATAATAAAACATAATTGATTGACAAAAATTTCAACGAAAAAAGAAATCAATAAATTTTATATTGAATTTTAAATTAGTTTAAAATATTTATTTTTTTTTTGTTAAAAAAATTTTATCTAATTTTAAACATTTCCTATTAAATTATAATAAAATAAATGTTTATTTTGAAACAGTATGTCATAATCAATGTGTGTGTGAATTGCATATATATTATATAATTTATATATAAATATATATGATTTTTAAAATATATATATATATATAATAAACAATGTATAAAAATTGAGTGGCTTTTTAAAAGGGGAAAAAATTACAAAAATAGACATTTGTTTTTATAAAACATTAAAACAAAATAATAATAATAATAATAAAACAAAAGCCAAATAAAAACAATTTATTTGTAGTTTTTCTTATTTATAAAAATCTCTATCACTTTATATATATATATATATGAAATATAAGTTTTAAATAAACACACTTTTGTTATTATTTTAAGTGTATAATCATTTTCATACATTTCAAATATATATATATATTCATAGTATACTTATATATATATAATATATTGTAATAATAATAATAATATTATTATTATAAATATTAACAACAATACCCTAATATGTGAGAAAGTTTAGACAATAAAAGTGTTTTTTAAAAAAAAATATAAATCAAATTATATTCAGAATTTACAAAATATTTCCTATATTTGAAAATATTAATAATAATAATAAAATTTAATATTTATATTAAATATTATTTTTCTCAAATATGTCTATAGTATCTGAGAAATTAATATATTTTTAATTAATACAATAATTTATATATATATATATATATGTATAAACATTTAAATTAATGTAAAAATTATGTTATTTTGAAATAAAATCATGATTTTATTTTTAAAAAATAATTATATTAGCATAAAATTCTATAATAATAATTATTATTTAAAAAAATTTGATAAATTATTATATATTTTATTTTGTTGTAAAAAAAATTAAGTTTATTTTTAATTTACTTAAACAATATAGTCTTAATTACTAAATGAATACATCATTTAATTAATTAAAAATTTAAATTTTCTTTTATAGTTATTGTTATTTTTAAAGTAAAAGTAAACCGATATCTGAATTTTAAATTAAAAATTAGTGATATTTTTAGAGATAACTCTTTTTTATATTTACAAAAAAATATAGTAATAATAATAATAATAATACAGTAATAATATTTTACTAATTTTTTATTTTAAAAACATTTTTAATTGTTTAACATAATAAAAATTTTATTAAATTATTTTTGTTGGATAAATTAAAAAAATAAATAAATAAATATTTTTAGCAAATATTTATGTATATATCATGTAAATAATTAACATAGTTTAGTTTTATAAATTACTAATTACTTAAAAAAAATATCAAATTCATAACATATTATCCATGAGAGAGAGAGAGAGAGAGAGAGAGAGAGAGAGAGAGAGAGAGAGAGTATTGATTTGTAAGAAAGTAACAAAAAAAATAATATAATATAATAAAAGTTTTTTAAAAAATTGTTTTTTTTCGACTAAAGTTATAGTCAGAGAAATGAAATTTATTTTTATATAAAAAAACATAATTCATGTATTCATGCCTTCAAATGTTGAGATGATTTTTTTTCAGACAATAGACACTCATATTATTGTAAGTTAATGAGTGTGTATGTGTGTGTGTGTGTATGTGTGTGTGTGTGTGTGTGTGTGTGTGTGTGTGTGTGTGTGTACTATATATATATATATACATACAATAAATTCATTCATATACAGTACATATATAAAGTATAACTTAATA